GGTTGGGAAGAATAGGGAATTTAATTACTTGAGTACCAAGTAAAGAAACACAGCAATCAGGCAATAACATAAATAGTTATTCTGATTTTATCCTTTAAAAAACCCAGGCCTGAACTCAAAATATTCAATTAAGCCATCGAATTATTTTTGTATTGAAGAAAACAAACCCTTCTGGATAACCTTGTATTTCAGGCTTTCAGTGGAAAAGACCGAAGAAGAAGAGAACTGGAGACCATTTGGTACTTGGGAGACATAATATTAACCAGGCTGTTACTCAATTACGTGAGCGATTTATGAAGAGTAGGAGGGAATATTTCTTCATTTGGGCGAGGGCATTGTCAGATTAAAGGGGCAGTGGTTCTAAATACGGCTTGTCCAAGCTTTCTGTTTGATTGGAACAACATAAGTGTCTTGTCTCTGCTGGTGGATTATTAACAGAGGTTATTGGTCTCCATGGCAAAGCAATTGAACGATTGCACTGAATGTAATCTCATTTATGGGGGTGCAAAAGAAAAAGATTCCAGGTCAGGGAGAATGTATAAATGCCCTTAGCCATTGGGTCTGCTAGGATTAGAAACAAAGCAACCCCAAGTACACAGTTCTAAGAGCTCTGTCTTGGTCCCCAGATACTTATTGAATCGGGGACATCCCCTGGAACACTTTGCCAAAAATCCCGAAAGAGACCTGCAAAGCAGCGGTGAGGAGCCTTTGATCCCTGCGCTGTGCCACTCCAGCATGTGCACTGGGGGCTGTGCCAGGTGCCTGGGGGGCACCCTCATTCCCCTGGCTGTGTTTGGAGTCCTGGCAAATATCCTGTTGTTCTTCCCCGGAGGAAAAGTAATCGATGACAACAGCCACCTTTCTGACGAGGTCTGGTATTTCGGAGGAATAGGAAGCGGCATCTTGGTGAGTAGAGAAACCTTAATATTCCCACGAGGGAGATTTCGCCTGTTTTTATCCCAGTACTCAGTGAAAAGGGTGCTACTGAGAAGCTCCCAAGTTTTGCCTGATTAAGGAATGCCTTAATATCCTTCCCTTTTCTGTTAGCTGCTGAGAAGAACAGTTAGTTTACTGAGAATTTATTCCCAAGCTTGGGCTGGCAATTCCCATGGGACATTTGAGTTCAGTAAACCTTAATAAAGTTCACTTAAGTGCTTTATTCCAAGGAAGCTGTGTCAGTAAGAATTCTAAAAACAAAACGTGTTTTATGACAAGTAGATTTAGTTAAAACTAAAAGTTGTACAAGTTAGTGGCGTTCTCTCCCATTCAGGTTTATGGTTTCTTTATCCTGTTTCCCAAACAGCTGGGGACCTCAGCCCTACAGCTGGGGTGGGAACTCACTGTTTAGGGCAGCTGAGGGTGCGTTTCTTATCCTTGGCCTACCTTACCGTCTAAATGAAAACTCAGGATGCCAGATCTTGAAATCTTCCTCACTGAATTTGCCCACTCGGGCCAAATGGAACCTTCATAATCAACACCACGCATCTACCCATACTAGCTGTTAGGTCTTGCCTGCCCCTTTGAGCCTCTTCACTGGCCTAAAAGAAATGGGCTTCCCTTCGACCTCAGAGCCTCTAAAGTACCTTCTTTGCTGACAGATGATCTTCCCCGTGCTGGTGTTCTTGGGCCTGAAGAACAATGATTGCTGTGGATGCTGTGGCAACGCGGGCTGTGGGAAGCGATTTGCGGTGAGTTGCTGTGGGGTGGCTGGCAGAATTACCCCAGGGCATACAGTCTGCTTGTGCTGGGCGATGTGGATGCAGGGAACAAGTAACCAGCCGCAGCCAAGGCTCTGGGGTTGGCTGGTACATGATTTAAGCTCTGATCCTTGCAGGTACAGAATAACAGTAACGAACACATTCAATTCCACAATCCTCGTATGTAAAGGAATAAATAAATGCCCTCTCAGGTTTTATAAGAACGTAGAGCTGTCAGAGCTTTAAAATTGAAGTGCTGTAACATAAAGAATGTAGTATAAGAAGACAGGCCGTAGTTTCCCTTTGCCCCTGAGAAGCCGTGGGAACTTGGACTGATCATTTCCTTCCTCTGACTCTGAATTTCTTCATCTGTAAA